ATGCATTCATCTAGAAAGAGCTCTTTGTAAAGGGCTCTCAGTTCCACACACAAACTGCTCTGTAGATAAGGATCCACTGCTAATAAGAGATTCATGAAACTAGTTTAATTGTATAAATGTAAATTTACTTACAATCTCATTTCTTAAAACACATATTTGACTAGGATTTGAGTTTCACCTTGTTAAATGTGTACTTTCAAATATAATCAGGTAATTATATTATACTTTCTCACAGAAAATCTTGTGAAAAATTGTAAGCATTTTCAGGTTTTGTTATAAAACAATAAAGGGTATCAGCTGTAAAATATTTTACTAAGTATTTATTTTCTGTTCTTATTTTTACTCAATAAGGAATATGTTGTTCATCATTACTGCTAGTACTAAATATTTGTAATTATTCAAATAACTATTAATGCATGAGAAGAACCATTAGGAGTGTATACTTTGGCCTGCACATTTTTTATTTTATTGTCTGTCCATTCAACCAGTGTAAATAAGTAATGTTAAATAAAATGAAAGTAAGCAAGTAGTTAAATCACAACCAGAGTTTATTTCTAAAATTGACAAATGCTGAAAATGATGAAGAAAGGCTAAAAACAGCTACACCTCTTCAGCTGTGTAGGTAAAGATGGAGAAAGAAGACATATGAAAGAAAGGAGTGGGGTAAGGAGAGAAAAAGAGAGAAATCTGGGCAAGTGATAACAATAATGTTATCCCAACAATAAGTATTAGTATTCCTCAGATCAGTACAGAATTTACTGAGTCAATTCAACTGTAAATTTAAATTCCCTAAGTAGCACTTAAATCATCTGTTTAATTAATGCACAAGTAACCATGACTTGCTGTAAATTTAAACAATTCGTCACAAACAGAAACACTTGGTGAAAAAGCTTTGGTGCATTTCACTTCCAGTAATGAACTAAAATGTTTTCATGCATTTCTAATACTTTGGCAACACAAGTAAAACAGATTGCAGTGTTTGATAGACATGCCTGTTTAGTTATTGCGGTTGGCTAATACATTTTATGTTAGCATATGGTTACACAGTGTTCTTTATGAAAGAGCCAGCTAGCAGAAAAGGAAAAACTGTTTACTATGATGACAGTACTTGCTATTAAAACAGGATCTAAAGGTTTCTGTAATGTAGGGGTTTCATGTCATGTGGTGAACTCAGAATCTGGATTTAGACTCTTATGTATACAGTAGAATACATTCTATGTCCAGTAAAATATATATATATACTGTATATTAAATATACATGGGATATGTGTAAAATAATCCTTTCTACTGGTACACAACTCTTAATTTAGAACATAATCCTTTTAAATTACCATTTGAGCACAATCTGTATTTTTTAGCTCATTTTAGGTGCAGACTTTCCTCTTAGGTACTTCAGATCGAATTTATTTTATAACAACAGATACTTTCTGGTTTTTGAAAGAACTAAAGAACATATTAAGATGGAATCTGTGATCTTAGGAAAATCCATTTGAGCTAAGAAGAAGACTTTATTTGACTGGCCTATAGAAAAGCTCACTTTTTTATTTTTGAGATTCAGTTCTGGGATACCAAAGAACTGAATCTCAAGTCTAACCTGATGTTATTGTATGCTCCAGGACACTGGATACAGTTCTTTGAGATTTAAAGTCTGTCTTCCATTAGAAAAAAAAACCTGACACTTAAATAATTGCTTTTATTCAATAGTGAATACAAACTGTCACTCTAAAGCAGAAAACAACAAGCATGTACTACTTGACTTTTTTCCTCTAAATGTCAGCAAAATCACTGCCATTTTATTTTATAGGATACTTGAATTTATGATATAGTGGCAATGATATTAATGTCTTGATTATTCTTGCCAACACATCATTTTCAAAGGCTTGTGAAGGAAGACTATGACAGTAATGTTACTCTAGATAAATATGGTTCATGGTGGAATTAATATCATTTTGAAGCTCCCATGAGACCAAGTTCAAATCTTGTATTATAATCAAGGTTTCACAAAACCTTTCAAATAAGAATATTTTCACTCACTTGAAAGATGTTCAGACCCTGATAATTGCTGTATGTTATTTATAGATCTAATCTACATTATTACGTTTACCTAGTGCCCTTGTTAGATGATTAAACACATATCAGACTAAATACCTTTTCACTGGAGATGTGACTTTTTCTATTTGACTATTATTAAGATATTAGACTTGCTATCTCCTTTTCTTACCGTATCAGGAGACTTTCCACAGATGGTCTTGATCAGCAATTGTAAAACTGGTGCTATATTTGGGCTGAAGAGTGTTCTCTTGATTGGGTTTTTATATTAATCCAATCTGTTTACCCAGGGTAGGTGGGGGTTCAATAGAATTCGTATTATTGCTGTTTTCAAGGTTTTGTATTCATTTCGTATCCCATACTCCATAGGCATACTTGTGAAAAATGAGATAAATTCTCATTCCAAAAACATTTTTAAAGCACCAGGGGTAGAAAATCAGCTCTTACATTGTAATCCCAAAATTACTTTAAAAAGGAAGTTAGTCTGGGAGGAACTGCAGTATGCTGTTTATTCACATTTACAAATTTAGTGCCCTCTAAAAGTCAATAAAGTTTATAAAATAGGAACCATAAACACTAAATAACAGAAAGAATTATAGGTTGAATAATGTTTCTTGTTTAAAAAAAAAACGAAAAATGTTGTACAGTAATCTTAATAGCATTGCACAGAGCTAAGTTATATCTGTCATAAATAATCCATTTTAGTCCAGAAAACAAAAGGGTCACTTTGATTCTCACCCCTGTAATTCGTATTTTGTAAATCCTCTTCTAGCAGAGATTATGGCGACTAGATGCCTCCAGTGGATTCTGTGTATAAGATTCTGGCACTTCAGAGGTGAAATTTAGAAACACTCTTCCATGTAGAATTGCCTTCAGACCCTTTTGTTTTATTTGTGAACTGCAATCTTGAGTTTGAGACAGGGGTAGTGGAGAATGTTTATTTTTTATGCAGTTAACCATTCCTTTGACAATTTGGATGTATCCTTGGGATCTTGGAATGAACAAATTCATGCAAAACATGCGCTGCTTGGCAAAAAAGAGTACTTGATCTTGACAAGAGCTCCTGCACCCATAGATGCAAAACATCCCCAAAACAATAACAGACTCCCCCCATTATTTCCAGTTGGGATGCTCAACATGGGCTTCATAATTTTTAATGCCAAACATAATACCAATGAGCACGTGCAAAAAGCTCAGTTTTCATTTCATGTGACCATAAAAGTGTTGCTCCAGTTGTCATTCAAATGATGTTTGGTACATTAGAGTCTCCTCTTTTTGAAGAGATTTCTTCTTTAAAGCACAGCTATAAATTTCACATTTAAGCAGAAAACTTCAAATGGTGGGTTTCAACACTTTGTATCCTATACTGTAGATGTAAGCATGTATTGGAGATCTCCAACATTTGCTCTTGGACTTACAAATATGTTGGCTTCCAAATATGTTTTTTACACACCCTGTGGTGGCAAAATACACTTGTGTCCACTTCCTGGCAGGGTGACCACTATACCAAGTGGTCATTAATGTCTTGTTAATGGACACTGCAGTGAAAAGTGGGAGATTTTTCTTTTTGTGGACTTGTGAGGGTCAATAAAGATTTGCCTGCAGTCTTCAAAGAGCTCTCTGAAAGTACCCATATTGATGAGCACTGTTGAATATTTTCCATCTATTACCTCCTTTTATAACCCAGGGAAACAGTAAAGCTTTATAGGCCTCCATGTGGTTCAGAGGCTTCCAGTGCACTTCCAAAGAGCAAAATGTTACTGGGAATTTCTTTTGTTGAATTTTATTTAAAGGAATAAGAGGTATGAAAAATGTTACCTTCTTGTTTTCTGGAATTCACTTTTTAATGAAACGTAACTTTGCACTGTGCAATATTTTTATATTTACAGTATAATTCTTTAGAATTCTTAGGTGATGCTATTGTTCATATTTCATCAGGAGTGAATGCCTCACAGATTAAGGTGTACACATTTCTATTAAATAACAGTGAGACCACATACAGTGTAAGGAAATGTGTAAGGAAATGTGCCTTTTATATAGAGAAATCCAGGGTCCATGTCTTAAATGCCTAAAAATGGAAAAAGGGGACTTAAGTGCAGACCTAGCAGATACCTAGCTGTGCAGTGTATTGCAGCACAAAGGTATAACCTCACATTGCACCAAGAAACAGTTCTATCATTTTATAATCAGCTTATGCTAGTCTCGACACAGATTCCCTCCTCTGTTACTAAAATATGCTTCTGACTTCCAGGCTCTGTCAGAGATGAATCCTTAAACAAAGGCTCTTCCGAACAGAATGCAGATTTTATTTCTTGGAGGCAGAAGGGGAAAGGAGTGAGGTTACAATCACTGTTCTTCATCATATTTGAATCTTACATGGACTTAAAGCGTGCTCCAGCATGCTGTAATTAGCCTATGCTTAAAATCTGTCAAAATCACTGCTACCCTCTATCACTTTCATCATTGTGAATTTTATTGTTTGATTGATAGGCTGGCTCTGCGTATCTGAATACTAGATGAATGTTTTACTGGCTCAATTACAATTTACAGTTCTTTAATTGAGAACCTTATCTTCAGAATTTATTGCAGTTCTCTGTGCCATCTTAAAATTTACCAAGTAGCACTTTCACCTTTCACATTCACCCTTCCAATAGCATCTACCTGCTTTGGGTGCAAGTCAATGTAATACGCTGTTGCTAACTGACTGAACTGAAACTATCATTTTTTTATTTTAATCAGATATTTTCTGCCTGATATTTGCACTTGTTAACTCTGCCAAATAATATTGTATTATTTAAATTTTATTGATTGTTCTTTTAGTTGTTTCACTCCTCTTTCCTCTTGGCTTTGTTAAATAAAGTATGATGATGATGATGATGATGATGATGATGATGATGATGATGATGATGATGATGATTGAATAATTTGAATACACAGAACTGCCATGGTAATTAATTTGAAACTCCTGACTATATTCAAAAGTACATTAATGTTGTTTGACGAACATTAAATACAATTTGAGTATGTATATGTATACAGTGTGGTGTTACATTTTATGTTTCAAGCAACTCCCAAGCTACCCATAAGGGTTCTAGACTAAGAAAACATATGTTTTCCTAAAGCTACACTTAAACTGAACCTCTTACTTTCCTTATATCCCTAATAATAATAACTGAGTTGCTGAGTTATGATTATAGATTTGAGTCATGCTATATATTTTGTACCATGACTCAAAAACACGTCATATGATAAGCAACTCTTAAGAACAACATATAAAGATGAATTTTTTAACATATTTTACATGAAGATGCATTAAATTAAAACTTCAATAAGACAACAGGAAAGGAGTTTTAAAAATGTACATAAAAATGTTGATAAAAAATATTTTACCAATTGCTAGAACAACTAGAATTTAGGCAGCATGTTTAAATCAAGCTGTATCAAAAATAATTTACACAAAGGAGTTTATTTTTAGACACATTTCTTTTAGAATAGTACTACCAATAAGTTAAAAACAATCATAATACGTTTTATAAAACTAAGCTGTTAAACTACTCTATACAGGCATTTTAAAAACATAAACTTTTTATTGTTTCTCCAACATAAAAAAGGTTACACGGGAAAAGGGGCTACAAAGTAACTGTTTCGTGTAGTACAGAGGTTGAAATCCAAAATTCTTATAAAGAAAATAACAGTAAAAGGTCTTAATCAATATCCTTAGTGAGATTAATGTTGACACATATCTTATAAGAGAATGGAGACATTATTCTGTAGGTGTAGCAGTCAGAAGGAAGCAGCAGAATATTTGTTTCATCTACAGTCACAAATTATGAAATTCCAGAGATCAGCAAATAGGAGAGGACTCATAAAAATAAATGTATCCACAAAGTTAGCCATTCCAGTTAAGTTGCAAATGTAAACAACTGAGCTGTCCATTAGACAAATTAATTTGTGTTATTTTAAGGGAGGTAGGAAACTGTTTGTAATGAAAAGAATTCAATACAACTTACATCCCTTGACTTGTACTGTATGGTGAGAATCAATTCCACAGGGCAGCACTTTTCACGTTTAATACATGGCCAAAACAAATATGAAAATGTGAAGACCCAATCTGCTTCAGTAATGCTCATATCTATTAATACAGTTGCAGTTGTACATGATCCTTCAGATTTTTTCTTTTTCTTGGTTGGTTTGTTTTTCAAGAGGTTCACATGCTCTTCAGTGCTTTTGAGAAACCCCACCTTTTTGTCTAGTGTTGGTGAAAAGTCCAGCCAAACAGGATGTGGCACACAGAACACAGCACTGCTCTAATGGAGGTTCTTGTCAAGAGGCATCAAAGCTGAAATGAAGGATGAAATGTAAGTTTAAAATGACTTTAGTTTTGCATTCATTGTGAAAGAGACATTAGACGTTAATTATGATAAATCAAAGTAAACAGGCTTAGTGCAAACTGCTAATTTCTGTCACTCAGCTTCTGCTAATCAATTTTCTGGTGCCTAACTTATCACTGTCTCTCTGGGGAGGGGAGCTCATCAACAATGTCTGCCATCTCCTTTTCTAGTCAGTATAAAAAGACTAAACCCTTTGTTATGTGCACAGTGTCTCATCCTGTTATTTATCTTGAACAACATTTTATAGTACAGAAAATACAATATATGTTTTGTGTTTTTCAAAGCTACTGTATTGCCACATTCTTGTCAGTTTAAATACATCTGTATCATCTTACTCTTTTTGACTCTAGGTGTTTACTTAGGGACTTAATGCTCACTGGTTTCAGTGGCAAAGGTTTTTTTTTTCAAATACTTCCCTGCCACAGGATTGAATTATTTTTCCTTCTCACTTGATATTGTCTCTTCATTGAACTATTAATTATTAAAAGATCAATTCCACACCCAAGTGAGATAAAATTGTGATCCCAAAAAGCATTTCAACAAGAAGGTAAACTTAAAACTAACTAGATGAATGGATCTACCCTACCTTTTACTCTCCCCATTGGCAAAGTGTCCATTAGACTGAATATCATACATAGGGTATTAAACATAGGTCTAATATATGCTGCTTGAAAGCACTATTTATCTTGCTCTTAATAAGTCACACCATATTCTATATTTCCTGGATGTAAAGAAAAGTCCTTACATCATTTCTATCCAAAAATATAAACAGTATCATATTGGTATTGGACTTTCCTGGTATATGTTATAGACCTGTATACACATATACTGCATATAAATAAAAAACAGCACAACTTAGTGGTAAGACTACATGTTTGTTAACAGCACTGGGAAAATATGAGTGCAGATAATACTCTGTGGTGTTGCTCTCATCCAAGGCAGCAACACGCCTACACATTGTGGCCAAGAACAGCCATGCTCTTTAGGGGATTGAATCCCATTCCTGGCACAGAATCTACATTAATGAATTCCAGGAAGAGGGTTTTAGTTATATCAAGCATCTGCATAGGTACTGTCTCTCTTCCAAGAAATTAAATATCAATGTTCATAAAAACATTGATTTCAGACTCTTACCTGTCCCAAAGCTTGACACTTCTACAGGTGGTTGTACAACAACCAGCAGATATTAGTGCTAGAAAGAATGAGATCAAAAGTGATTAAACATGTCATAGCAATTGAAGACAAGGAATAATACAGTCATGAAAGACAGAGAATATACAATATTGCTTCTGAAGAATCAGAGGACTTTTTTTGCATAGAAAGATTTGTGCCCTGCCCACATTAAAATTAAACAAGTAATTTATGGGTTCTAAACTGATTTAGAAAGTGCTTAACTAAGTTCACATCCACAGATACTTAAGTCTAAACCCTGTACATGGTTGTAGGCATAACTGGGTCAGCTGGAAATTCAGTTTCAGTTGTAGAATCCTCCAATATACTGTACCTATTTTTGCAGTTACTGTAAGTGAAACACAGATTGACTGGGAATAAATCACAAAAAAGCAAGACAGAGAGCAACAGAAACATTTAAACGTAAAAAAATAGTACAGAAATAGATGATCATATAGTTACATGGTCCAATGCCGAGACCAACTGAATTTTCGGTTAATGAGTCAGTACAGGAGGAGCTGTCTTCTTTTAACAGAAACAGCATTATTTATCAAAGAATAACTGATCCCATAGTGATTTTGCAGTCTGCTGGATACATTTTATATATATATATTTCATTATCTATATAAATATATATATATCATTACTTTTCATCTTCTGTGTTACACTTGACTCCAACATCTAAGCATTCAAAGGATGACAAAAAAGGCTAAAAAAGCATGCTCATCAGAAACAACCATGACGGCCACCAAATGGACTAGATTAGCCGAATGGCCTCTCGTTTGAAACTGTTTGATTTATCTTATATTCTTATATTGACCAATCTTTAGTGAAAAGGCTTGGTGGATACCATCCTGCATGTGTGTCTGCTGTAAATGTGCACCACTGCTGTGTTTTCAAGCAAACCATACAAAATTTAATAATGGTAGCTCTCAGCTTCTCAATGACAGTCCTCCAATCCAAAGATCCAAAGCCATAATTATTCATTATTATACTTATTTCAGTTGAAAAAATAAATCTGTGTCTAGTATTTGATGTCAGCTACTGTTGCAGATGAAGAACGGAAGAAGAACTACAGTTCAATGCAAGGCTATTCATTGAGTAATGTAAATCGCTCAATACCATAATTAGTCATGAGGGAGATGTCACACCTTAAGCACTTCAGAAAGAACTTGAGAGTATAATGGTGATTAGAGGTTAACAATCTCTCGTCTCATTTTCTTTATATTTAACTCAAAGGTTTAAATTTTACATCTTGCACTAATCACTGCAAATTCAGACTGAGTTCTTACACATGCGATGATGAACATGTTTTACAATTTATTTTTTCTTTTATGTGCCTTTTCTTCTGATCTGTCTCCAGAAATGCAATATAAAAAAACTATGGAGCATTTCCTATTAGCCAGGGCTATCCAATCCTGCTCCTGTAGGGCTGGAGTGTCTGTATATTTTTTAAGACTCTTTCAAGCAGCAGGACCCGAAGAGCTGGGCAAAGTTTGTTTAACTGGTCCACATCAGGTCTTACAGGCACTAGAGAGCAGGAAGGGCCATTTTTACATTATATTTCATGCAAACTCTCACTCTCACTCCTTCCCATGGCGAGACCAGTGGTTTGTAACAACATGGTGACTATTTCACAAAGTTAATGATTTTCTGCTTTGTTCGAAATTGTAAAATTATGCTGTACAGTCACAGAACTTATATTGTTATTGAGGTTTCATATGGCCTGAGAAATTGGAAGTGCAGTTCCTCTTTAACACTTCTATGATGTGGACCTCTCTTTGAATTATTATACATACATGTTAACATTCATAAAAAAGCTAAAATCTCATTTTAAAATTGTAATTAGCATCATTACTGGAAAATAGCTATTATGTCAACAATTTGTTCCTAATTTCTGCTCTGTCAATGTTCATTCCCATGTAAAGCAATTACGTTTTCATCACATTGCATATCCTTAAAAATTAGTTTGTTAAAAATGGGGGCAAAGTAATAACTTTCAGTGCATGTTGCCACAGCATTATGATGAACTATTGCCATTGATTCCCTTTAATGAGAAAAAATTGTTTGTATAAAAATTTGAACATCTAAACCTAAGATTATTGGGATTTTTTTAAATGACACTCCTTTCAGTTCGTTCATAGATCTGCATTGCTCCCTCTGTCCTCACTACTGTCCTAGGAGCAGCACTTTGGTTCATTCCACCACATGGGTGGTGGTGGAGGGAAGGGGGGTTTCAAAAGCCTTGTCTTGTAACTCGCTGGCAGCAGGTTTGAGGAGTTGAAATTTATGTTAGAAATCTAAATAACAAATTAAACAGTTTTTTTGATTTAGTCTTGAACAGAAAATTCAACAGAAATTGTCAAGGTTTACCCCCATTTTAAAATCTAAGTTCAGTTTAATAGTGGAAACATATCTTTAAGGGACATCCATGTTTCAGTCTTGACACTGCTTCTGATACTCAGCTGAGTTTTGTGTAAGCAGTATGGGCAGTGATTTTGCCCCCAACTCAATTTGCAGTGTGTTGTGAAGTGTAAATTAGCAGGCTGAAAAACCTGACAGCAGCCTGCTTTCCTTCACATCATATTAAAGGGAAATTACATTAATTTTAAACAAATCCTTAATGCAGTGGGGAAAGACTCTAGCTCCTTCTTTATTGATCAAGATTGCATCGATTTTTCTACCTACGTATTTTGGGCATATGGAGATATTTCTTGTTGTATGTCTTCAATATACAAGTAGGACAACAAAAAAGTGGTGTGTGTACTGTATGTAAAGCTAACTTACTTGGTAAGACACCTAAGGCTTAGAAACAGAAAACGCATGCCCTGTTTCAAGATACACTTCAAATACAATAATTTTTAAATGCAAATGAAAATGGAAATAGAATTTAAGGGACATTTATATCCTTGTTAAAAATAGGGATACAACATCAATTATTTTTATAGTCTGGAAAAACAAGTCATGCCTTGATACTATGCAGGAATGCTGATGTTTATCTAGAAGCTCATTTAGCACTTCCTTTGCAATTTCCTTCAACAAGACGTTGGTCTGAGACTAAACCATTCCAGTAACAGGTCATATAAATGGCCAATCTATCATGTAGTGATGGTCAGTAGATCTGCACAACTGGCACAATTGGTCAGGGAGTCTATTATCCATCACAACAACCGTTAAACAAATCTGCAACTCTTGCACGTCTATCATCCTTTTAGGATCTCTGAACAAAGATTTGACATGACTTAAAGGAATGCAGGCATCAGTGGCTTGAGATTGCAGGTGCCTTTTCTCACAGATCTTTAATTCTAAACTTCATTTGTTCAGCAGAATCTGGGAAGGTTGATGAGAAAAAATGTAATCTATTATATGTAATCTATTCCATATTCTGCCAAAATCTCAAGCAATTATTTTTCTGCTCAACAAGAAATCCAAATGGAGCAACTTCAACAACAACTATTAATACATTTTGAAAGCATCACTATCATTATCAATGTCTTCTAATTAAACAATAGAAAGAATAAAAAAGATCTTTTTCTCAGCTGACGTTTAAACCTAGAGTATCTTTAACTCTTCAAAAATAATTTAATGTCACATTTCTGTATAAATCTGCTACTGCAATGCCAACTGGATGCTCAAAAAGGGTAATAATTATTACCTTAACTGAAAGTGAGATAATAGCAGATTATATTCTGATTCCAGTATGTCAAGTGTCATTACTGAAAATTGAATGTGACTATAAATGTACCTCTGTTATAAATGGTAGTCACTGAGAGATAGGTGTTAGATGTGGTCTCTTGGTTTATAAATCTCCCTTAAGCATGTGGCAGAAGCAGGTGCCCTGCATAAAATACTCACCCTGAGACACAAACATCATAAACTATACTGGTGCCCGCAGGTGTACAGTTTTTATATCTCTAAACACAAAATTCTGACACATCTCATAAATTCAAAAGAGGTACAACTGACTCCCTGATATTTCAGACTTTTAGTCCTGCTGTCTATATGGCAGATGTTCTGTGGTTCCACCAGAGGGTGTTCACAGCCTAATGGTATAGGAAATCCCTGAATTGAAAAATTATCATCTCAATTAGAAAATCCTGGACAATCACCCTCTGCCTCTTTCCTTAAGAGAAATCTGTTTGCTGTTCATGGTTTTCTGGCTTTGCTGGCAGGCAGTTTGCTTATCCGAAGCATATAGCTCACTAAAGGCAAAGGACGCAACAGTGATTGATGACTGCCTTATAATCAATCATTCTGAGGTACTGATATTTATTTGAATAGTTTCTATTTATCCTTATTTTGTTTCTGTCCTGTATTTGTAAGTTTCACAATTACTGACTTGAATCAAATTACAAAAGAAACATTATTAAATCTATTATAAATTACATACTGTATATATACTGTATGTGGTGTATGAAAACCAATAAAAACACAAATTTAAAGTAGACATTAAACATGGATAACAGGCAACTGCCTAGTTCTGCAGTGATCATACAGAGGATTATAAGTGGGTGGGTAGATAATTCTTTATTTAAAATCATATATAAATTAGTTGTTACAATAGAAAAAACATCAATTAACCTTGCTATGTGCAAAACATGTTTCTAAATAGACTTCAAGGTTATCTGTTAGTAGCAAAAAAGAACCAGGTTTTCAGTTTGTTCCAAACATATAAACCAATTAGATGGAACTATACTTCACTACAATTAAAAACTTCAAGACAAAATGCAGATTCAGTCATTAAGCCAGCTGTTAGCCTACTTAGCCTGTCCCCGCAAGAAATCTATGAGATTGTTCTCACTGAAGAACTAAGTAGTAATATTGGAGACAAGGTGTTATAGATCATCTGTGTCTGTTGATAATGATTTCATCCTAAACCCAATCCTAACATAATTCTATACCTGCCTCCTGAAAGCACAATTAAAATAATTTTGAATTTAATCTACAGATGCACAATGAAAGTGCAACAGTTTAAGTTTTCCATCAATAGCTCATTAAGCACATACATAATGTTACTTACAT